TGTGTCACCCATCACACCTGGATAAACTATCCAAATTAAAAACTAAAGTGATCAGCCAAAGCTGGGGCTTTAGGTCAGTGGCATAGTGCCTGCCTGGCAAGCATGAGGTCCTGAGTTCAATCCCCAGTACAAAAAACAAACTATCAAAGTGATCAGCCAGCCATGGTGGCACATGTCTGTAATCTCAGCACTCAGGGGGCTGAGGTAGGATTGCCACAAGTTTGAGGCCAGTCTGGGCTACATAGTGAGACTCTGTCTCAAAAAACAACAGGGCTGGGGATAAAAGCAAACAAATAAGCAAACACTAAAGTGATCATCACCAGGCATGGTGGCACACACCTGTAATTCCAGCCCTCAGAAGGCTGAGGCAGGAGATTATGAGATGAAGGCTATCCTGTGCTAAATAGCAAGACTCTGTGCCAAAATAAAGAAAAGGGGCTTGGTATGTAGCTTGGTGCTTCAGTGATTCACTAGATAGGACTCAGCACATAAATGTACTCATGCCTGTATTTATTGAATTAGCAGAAGGATATAAAGCAAAAACAGTTAAAAAAAAGGGGGGGGGGGTCTAGTGGAAGTTAGGTACAAGCTTCCAAGAATCTTCTCCTAGTGGAGTCACATAGTTAATTCCTCCAGTGTTGAATTGAAACAATGTATGTGCCCATTAGCTAAGCTTATCAGAGACTAATATCCAAAGTTTTTACTGGGTGCTGGTCATATCAGTACCTTTGGTATAAGATATATCAAAGTTTCAGATCCAAGAAGAGCCTTTCAAAAAAAATTGACAAGCTTTTTCCTAGATCAACCAAGAAAGGACAGATCACCAAAATTAGGCCTGAGAAGATATTACCATTAAATTAAAAGAATTATAAGAAAATAGTGAGCTTTACGCCAATAAATTAGACAAGGTGAAAGATAAATTCCCAGAAAAACACAAATTACCAAAACTAACTTGCGAATAAAAAATAAACACTTAAATATTAAAAATAGGATTATTTAAGGGCCGGGGATTTAGCTCAGTGGTGCCGCTGTCTGCCTCACAAGCGCAAGGTCCCGAGTTCAATCCCTGGTACCAAAAAAAAAAAAGGATTATTTGAAGATGGAGTATTTACAAAAGGTTGGGTATACAGGAACCACAAGCCACAGTGCAAGTACCAGAAGCTAGTATAAACTAAGCTGGTATTACCCCTAGGCCCAAAAAGATAAGGGCAGGGAACTATCAGAACCTAGAAGAAAAGAGACAAAGTCTGCCACATTATGAGCCCTGTAAGGATCAACAGAGAGGCACAGTCAACCCAAGGAACCTTAAAAGGGGGGAGCTGGCCAGGGATTTAGCTCAGTGGTTTTGCCACCTGCTGTGCAAGCAGAAGGACCTGAGCTCGATCCCTGGTACCAAAACAAAAAAGGGGGTGGGGGAGCCAAGGGTATAGATACCCCAGCCTGCCTTCCTTCCTTCCTTCACATGTTCCTGTCTCAAAATAAAGTAGAACTGGTGTGACAGCACTAGTAGGTCTTCTGGCTTCTCCCAGAGTGATGACCTGTTAACCTCCTCCAGCATAAACTCCCTATTGCTTCTGCGTGATGGTTATACAACTGCTGTCACAGTGACTTCAGCATTAGGGAGGGTCTCTCTCTTTAGATGACTGTCTCAGCCTAACAGAAAAACTTCTGATGGCCCTATGAGGTTCTGAACCAATCACTGTGCCCAGGGCAGAGGTAGACTTCTGACCACCCAGCTGGGAGCCATATGCCCACCGTTCTGAGTCTGAAGCCTATTAGAGCTAATATCTCAGTGTCATTTTGGTAAATTATTTCATTTTTCCTAAGACAGACAGGGTTGGATTCTGCTGCTTGGAGTGAAAAGAACTTTCAAGCAGGCTCAAAGTACCATGATTAAAGTAGGGGAAAGACAAGAGTAAGCCAACCTTGGCAATGGAACTTTTAGCCCGTGGAAAAAAAATCAGAATTTTTTTCACTGCTGGGGATCAAACCCAGGGTCTTGCACATGCTAGAAAACCCAGCCTCAAAATCAGAATTTTATTTTTTCAAAATCAAAGCTTTGATAGCCGGGTATGGTGGCACACACCCGTAATGCCAGCACTCAGGAAGCTGAGGTGGGAGG